ACCCCCACCTGCTCCCCTGACCCACCCCGATCACTTTCCACTTTCCTGCCCAGCCCCAGATTATATCACACTTAGCTTAGCTATCTAATTGGTAGAGTGAGATTTGGCCCCACATTTGAATTTTATCGTTAAAAAAAAATTAAATGAACCCCTAACATGACACACACACACCTTCTCATGCATTCTTTCCCCCTCCCTCCCCTTTCTGGCTGGGTATTCAGCACCTTTCAAAATCAGGCCTTTTATGTGGGCACTTAAATAGCAGGTTAGAAGATTAACTTCAGATGCCCATTTATAAGAAATCTTAGCCAAGATTTCAAAATAATGCTGATGTTGGACTTTTATAATGCTTGCAGACAGAGAACCCAGACAAAGACAGATTCTGTTTTTTAATCTTTAACCAAGTCTACATTCCAGGGTATGCCAAAACCATCTTGAATCTCTCTAATTCATTCACATTCAAGATTCAAATTCTCACTCTTTGTTTTCCCCTCCAAGAAGGCTGAAGAGAGGTAAATGGGTTCTCATTAGGTAGCACCATGAAAATGATAATTGTGATCTTTGTTTAAATGGGAATACACGATGGTGTCTATAGAGTAAAATGAACCTACTGACTCATTTCTATTTTATTTCTCTCCCTCAAGAAAGAGGATGGATGGTGGCCTAGGGCATGGCTGAAAAAAGGAGAACAGTTTGGATGACAAGATGTTCCGCAGCCACAGGGTAGGGCAAACAGCAGCTTTGGGAAGCAGTGAAAGGAGGTAACAGTGAAATGAGTGTTCCAAGCAGTGGACCACAAGCACTTCCGGTCCACTTTTGGGTCTGCCAGGGAGCGTGCCAGGGGCCCCCCACACACCTCCCTGGCTCAGCAACTGTGCCTCCTGGGTCGGGAGGGACACCCAGGGTCTCCCTACAACCGATCGCTGAGCTGGGGGGGCATGGAGAGGCTCCCCGGCAGACCCCAAAGTGGACCAGAAGTACTTCCAGTCCACTTCTGGGTTCACACGGGGGGGCCCCCCAGCACTCCTGTCAGATGCTCCATCTGCCCTAGCATCACAGCGTTCACAAGCCATGCCTGGTACCTCGAGGTATGTAGAAAAAACAGTTAAAGCTGTGTCTATGGCCGAATCACGTATTGTCCGAATCAGCATCGAATCTTCAGATGCGGCCAAATCAAATCAGGGACAGTGATCCGAATCAAGTAATTGAATCACAGTCCCCAATTCCGGCCGAATTCCAATCAAATATGGCCCATTTCACACACCCCTACTGGATAAGCAGGTGGACTTAGGAACATATCACTGGGTGCTAAATTCCAGGAAACCCTTGTAGAACCCCCTTAGACACTGCGGCAAGCAACAGAATTCACACATAAACCTGCTGAAGTGATAAGAAACTGGTTTAAACCTGTAACAGAACATAAGTTCAGTTCATATAAACCAGTTTCAGAATGGCTAAAACTGGTTTAAGATAAACCTGACTGAATGTAGTCTCAGGCTTAACTGATTTGGGTCAAACTGGTTCATGAAACTTCTGTCCCACACCCCTTCCTGGTTCAAGTCACAGCACAGTCCCCCAGCATCCCAGATCCTTTGCACCCATGGGTGGGGTTGTGCTGTCTGCTCCAGAGAACAGGTCTGGCTCTACCCTTTTGCTCTCTAGCCCAAGCAGAGGTTGGGGCATGGACAGACATACGCCCCCTGATGTAAAGGGAGCAGGGAAGATTTATTCTCCACCTTCACTACTGGGGGGCTGTAGCCCCTGTCAGCCATTCCCCCCCTCCCTAATCCAGCATCAGGGGAAGGAGCAAACCCAGAGCCAGCTGGCATGATCTCTGCCATCCATCTGCCTCATCAGCAGCTGTGGCTGCAAGGCTAAGCCCAATTGGTCTACTTGTGTTGCTGAGGCTGGAGGCAGAGGGGCCAGCCTTAGCTAGGCCTCCAGGTCCAGGTTCTTCCCAGCAGACTGCAGCCTGGGCTGGGGCCACAGGGACTGTGTGGACCCCCACACCCAAGCTGGGTGGGGATGTCATGAAGCCCCAGCCAGCTGGGTATGGCCCTGTGGGGCCAGTCTATGGCGGCAGAGCCCTTTCCAGCCCGCTGTGGCTGCATGACAGCCCAGCTCAGCAGCATGGGCAGGGGCTGGCTAAGGAGTGGGCTTCCCAGGCCAACTTGGAGGCACTGGTGAGCCCTAAGCCCAGCAGCCATAGCTACACCCTGTGCCCTGTGCAGCCCCCAGGGCTGCAGATTCACAACCAGCTGCCAGCTGGCCAGAGCCAGGGGGTTGTTCTGCCCCCCTTGCTTCCAGCTGCCATGGCTGTGCCACAGCTCTGGGTGGGGCACGGGAAGCTTCAGCCCTGTGAAGCATGAATGCCCCCACTCATGTTTCTTCCTAGTGCATGGAGCTCCAGTTCCAGTTCCTGGACATCTTGGAAGGTAGAAGGCACCTTCAGCTAGAACCCCACATACAAGGCAGAAGCTGTTGGGCTGAAGCTCCCCCCACTCTGTCACCACATCCTGGAGTGGCGCACACTGCAGTGGCAGCTTCCCTCCAGCCTTGTGGCTGCTGCAAAGGGAAGGGAGGGCTGTTCTAGCACCCCCCAGCTTCTAGCCTGAGCCACTGCAGGCATGTGCCTGCGTTTCCAGAATTAAAGGTGCACTTGCAAATCAGTTCAATCTTTTCAGGTTAGACTAATCAATTCAGCCTCTGGATGTCTGTCCATAGCCCATGTCTTTTGAAAATATTTTACTTGCTTTCTTTCTTTCTTTTTTTTAAAGCTACCGAATATCCCACTTTAGTGTGGACAGTCCTAGCTTTACAATACCTGACCCAGTGTCTAGAAAGAATTTTTTTAAGTTGTCTTGGAAAAACACACAGCATTTCACCATGGCACAAGCTGAACTTTAGGGAGATGGGCCAGGGCTTCAGGTGGGATACCTCCTGAACTAGAAAGAGTACAGTCAATTTAGCACTGCACTAGTTGTGCACCAGTAAGCTCTCCTGCACTAAGCTAGGTTCAGCAGTTCTGGTTTGGCTGGGCTCTGAACCCAGAAACAGTGTTTCTGCCTAAGTGCAGTACAGCTTATGTACCAATACTGGTGCCATATTGTCTTCACAATCTTATTTTATTCATAAGATTTGTGCCCAACACATTTGCTTTCTCTTTCCTCCTATTAGCCCTAGTAGACAATTCTTTTCTACATAACTGATGGGTGAAACTTTACTAGATGTTCACAGTTTCTGTATTCTAGTGCTTGGTCCACATACTACACTTGCCTCTGAACCTGAAATGCGTACAGCCATCTGTTTTGCCTCAAACAAAGTTGCTAGGGCACTTTCAGAATCCTCCTCACTTCCAGTAGGGAATATTACAAATACTGAATAAAAACTTTACTTAGTTAATTAAGACAATTACTTTATTATTAGAGTTAATTTTCCTTTCTGTACACAAATAGACACAAAGATAATTCATAGCAGATAAATTGATGGAACAAAATTAGACAGCCTGTTTCCAGAGTTTCCCACCCACCTTCCCAACCCCCCTCCCAATCATTGCTTCCTTTATTTTCTGGTAATTAACTAGTGGTTTTAGTTTAAGGGAAAAAAATATTCCTTTTTGCCTGAAGACCTGGATTCCAGGGGAAAATACTGACTTCTTTTGACTCAGGCTATTGCATCCCTCTGTCATCATTACACCCAAAAGAGCCAACAGATTTTACCCTATCAACTTTCATTAAGAATCTTGGATATGTACAACATATACGTATGTCAAAATGAGGACTCCCTTTCAACAGGTAAGTGTAAAAATTTAAAAATATATATATTTTATAATAGCAGAAGCACCGAGCAAAATGTGTTAAGGGCAATTGGGAAAAGGATACCATCCTAAATTGTCAAATAAATGCCCTGTATTTTGTCTGGATAGCCATTTTACAAAGAGGCCAATTCTCTTACTTCAGAGAGAATGTAAAGTGTCTCTCCATATACATATTCCATCCTGCCAAAAGCAGAAAGAGAAATCAGGTGGGGCAGGGACAGAGCACATGCGCTTGTAGCACATATTTAGGTAATTACTAACTCCTAATGTTTAAGAAGTCCTGGATCAAACTTCCCAAAATCTTTTAAATAATATATTTTGAGTTATTTTTATTTATCTTCTGGTTGCTAAGCCTTTCAGGAGTACTCTGGTCACTTTTTCATTTTTCCCCATCCAGAGGGGCAAGATGCTTGCATATAAAAAACATGAGCTGAGATCTTCAATCACTTGTCAGAGGAACTGGCGCTTTTGCTAAAACATCACGTACCTCAAAATTTGTATTCAAATTAGAAGAATTAGAAACATAATAATTATGATATTGGTACTAATCTCAACAAGAGCAAGCAGCACTGAAGAGGGTGGGTAGATGGCATTCATGTTGGTGCTAGGTCTTGAGGAGAATTATGGGTGGAGTTGGAATGAGACTGAGAACCCATGGAGACCTAGAGGTTTATAATGCAGCATCCCAGCCTGTGACCCTGCCATGCTACCCTGGGAAAGAGAACATTACATAACTTGGTAGCAATTAATCGATAATTCAAACAACCTAAAGTTAGAATCCCTGCCAACAAAAGCCTGTACATCCAGGTCTTAAAATGTTTTATTGAAATGTAATTAAACAAACAGCAGTTCATTATAAGGTTATGCTTTAATCCAGAAATGCATTACCCTGTTTCTAAATTTGTTTTGATATCTTCTGTCAATATTTCTATGAAATATTTACTTTACAAAAGCAAAAGCAGCATAACATCCACTTCAAGTATTAGATAACAAGGGGAAAACCTATGAATAACATATTTGTTAAGCATTTGTCTAATTCGTTCGGCTTTAGCCAATGTCTTGTCAACTCCCACGCTGCACTGCAAATAGGCCAGGGAAAGACAATTTTCACAACACAAGCCTAGTTGACCCTGCTGACCAGTGAGAGTAGGTGTTGCTCCCTACCTCACTTGCAGAAGCAGTGCAAGTTGTGTAGGTGCAACAGGCAGCCACTTCTTGGGGCTGCTTGGTCGACCAATTAACACAAAACACCCAAGAAGCTACAACTCCAGGGTTGACTGGTTGTATAGTTCCTCCTTTAGGACTGCTTATCCCCAAATCCTAAATTGCTCTGGCTGCTGTAGCCCTTCCCTTAATCCAAAATGCAGAAATATGCTGCACATGCAACAGTGAGTGAATCAGATTCAGTTAGCTTCTACCTGCAAGCTTCCTAGCACCTGCTAATGGGAAGAGCCAAGGGAAAAAACCTCAGCTGTCCAGCTAAGATCTTGCTCACCTAGGCATTTTCCAGCTCCACACTTAATTACTTTTTAACCAGGTTACTCAGAGGAAAGCAAAAGGATTGGTCTGTAATGCTATGAAACAGCATTAAGGCCTTGTATAAAAATATGCACACTTGCTATCAATCTGGATAGGGTTTTTTTGAGAGATTACACATATTAGTGTGGAGGTCATACATATTCCTTAACTCTTCAGAACAAATTCAGTTTGGTCCTGGTGGCAATTTAAGCATTCAGTTTTTTCCAAAACCTTTTTTGACACTTTGGTTACTGATAGGATTCTGCCTTTAGTAACCAGAACAACCCTGAAAAGAAATGTGAAAAAAGTCCTTTAGACCTTCAGCCACTCTCTCAAATGTTTTTTTCTTTTCCTCTTTTTACTCAGTAATTTTAACTGATACACTGAT